GAGTCAGGCACAGCCCTGCAGCCCTCCCAAGGGTCAGGTCCCTGGATCTGTGCGCAGGATGACAGGAGGCTGCCGCTGCTGCCTGGGACCAGCACTGGGCACACCCTGTGGCCAGGGTTGGAAAGATTGCTGCTGCCACTGGTCCCAGGCATCAGCGGCAGCCTCCTGTCATACAACACACAGATCTGGGAGCCCACACCCCCAGGAGGGCTGTGGGGCTGTGCCGGACTCCTCCTGGGGGTGCTGGCCCCCAGATCTGCATGTGGGATAACAGGAACCTGCCACTGCTGCCTGAGGCCAGTTGCAGCAGGAATGTTCCTGGTGCTGGGCGCAGGCTGCGCCCAGTGCTGGTCCCAGGTGGCAGCAGCAGGCTCCTGTCATCCTTTGTGCAGATGCAAAGGCCCATACCCACAGGAGGAGTCTAGCACAGCCCCACAGCCCTCCCAGGGATGCAGACCTGCAGATTTGTGTGTGGGATGACAGGAGGCTGCTCTTGCTGCCTGGGGCCAGTAGCAGCAGCTATCTTCTGGGTGCTGGCTGTGCCCAGCACCAGTTCCAGGCAGCAGCGGCAACCTCCTGTCATCCCACACACAAATCTGGGGGCCCACCCACCTGGGAGGGCTCTGGGGCTGTGTCAGACTCCTCCTGGGGGTGTGGGCTCCTGGATCTGTGTGCAGGATGATAGCAGGCTGCCGACTGGGACCAGTGCTGAAGCCAAGCAAGTATGGCTTTGAAACTTGAAATGTTTCAAAACTTCCAAAACATTTCAAGTGCCCTGTAGCAGAGCACTAAGGTGCCTGCTACTTGTAGAGCCAGAATAAGCACTCAGGTGCTGGTTGCTAAGGCAACTGGAGGGAACCAGTGACCCACACCTGCTAGCTATCAGCTGACCAGAAGGGGCATGGCCTGGCTCCCATTTAAACCCCAGGACTGAGTTCAGGCAGGCAGTTCCCTGCTGGCAGCCAAAAGGGGAAGGAGCCCTGCCGGAGTGAGTAAAAGGAAGTCTGAACTATACGAGCAGTTCCAGAGATGGGTAAGGGGTGGAGCAACCCTGGGGCATCAGTGAGATTTTAGACGGAAAGTTTGAAGTTATGTTATAGCCCAGGGGCTTGTGTTTTGTTTGCTGTTAAACCGGAGGTTTGCGGTGAGGCTATTAGGGGTTGGAGGAGGCCTCATAGGGGACCCTCGGCATTGTGGGAACCCCAGCCCCGAGCAGGGGCAGCGAGAAGCCCCAGAGAGTGGCAGCGAGAAGCCCCGGAGAGGGGGCAGCGAGAAGCCCCAGAGAGGGGGAGCAAACTCCTGGTGCCAGCAAAGCGCAATCTTAAAAGCCGGGGAGTTCTTGTGCACCTGTGGTGCAGCATTATTCTCAGGCTCAGGGTCATCCTGGTTTGGGGCTTGCAGCCCTCCAGTGGTGGGTTTGGTGCCCTGGCCCGCTGGACCAGGCTCCAGATTGGAGCAGGAAAAGGGGTCCTGGGTCTCATGACAGTGGAAAAGGCTAGAGCCTCGAAGTCAAACCCTGTTTAGTGGGTTTAGACAGGGAAGCCTAGCTAGAGAAAATCAAGGGTCAGTCCCACATACGGGAAAGGCCCAACATATCCAATACAATAGGCAGCCTCCCGCTCGCAAGAACATCATCCTAATTTCCATCAAGACATGGCAGGCGAGTATAGGGCAGGACATAAGAACCCCAAAGAAGGATCAAAGGGCTCCCCAGCAAGGTGCAGAGTACTAAGAAGATGGCGCTGGGAAGGGCAACCTGTTACATGCCCTCATTTCATTTTAAAGCTGTTTCAAAGCCTTTGTTTCATTTTGATGTTGCTGTTTTGAGCTTGAAACATTGAAAACAGCTTCAAAGCAAAACACCCGGCGAAATTTTGCACAGCCCTAATGTACATAACATAACATTTCATGAGCTGAAGCTCACCTCAAATACTGTGCAGGCCCCATGCTCCCACTCAGCTGTCTCTGCGCTCCCACACACTTGCTTACTGCCAATCTCCCCCACCACTTGCTGCCACCATTTCCCTGATTTCCTGCCTGCCACCCCTGCTTCTTATCGCCCACCTGCCAGATGGCCACTCCAGCACCACATAGTTCCCAGCTGCGTTGCCAGACTACAGAACTTGGTAGGAGCCCCTGCAATTCTCTGCTAGTTCTGTGTGGTACCAGCCATGCCAGGCCAGCTCCTGCTATGTCCTGTGGTCTCGGGCATGCAGCTGGGACATGGTGCCAGGGTGGTGTGTGGGGAGAGGGAGCTGGGGACAGGGAAGCAGCAGGAGAAGGGCAGCAGTGGCAGACACAGGGGCGGGGAGGGAAGTGGCAGTGAGCAGGAGCACAGGGCCTGCGCTGGTGCCCCAGAGCCAGAAGCAGAAGGAGAGAGAGACTGCTATACACGCACACTCTTCACTACCTCGTACACCCCAGCCATCCTCCCCCTCCACACATACCACAACCCTCCCCAGCCACCCTTCCCTCACAGACTCGCAGGCCCCCACAAACCCCATACCCACCCACACCCCACATATCCATACACACCCACATGCTCCCCCACTCCACATACACACCCACACACCCTGAACTCCATACACACCCACAGCCCCCACACCTATCTATCCCCCCCACAAACACACCCACATCCTCCCACATACCCATGCACCCACAGCTCCCCCACAAACCTATACCCCCCACACATTCCCCCCACAATATACAAGAATAAGTGTTCATTTTAAGCTATTATACAATCACCTCTATGTACACTACACAAACAAAAGGATATAAATCAGGATTTTTTTTAAATCAATTAATGAATGCTGTAGTAGACGTTTGATTTTTAGAATATAATTTGGTATTTTTCTGGTTCTGAGATGGCAAGCCCCTTTGCTAAAAGGAGTACTTCCAGGTGCAAGGGGAGGTACTTTTGGTGTCAGAGGTCAGTGGCTAAGGGGTGTGACTTCTGGTCCCAAGATGGTGACCAGGAGTTGGGGCACCTGTGTAGGGGTAACGCCACCGTGGTGGCCCTTGACAGCTCAAGAAAACTCTTTAAGTGGCCCTCTAGCTAAAATAATTGCCCACCCCTCTCTTAAATACATGGTTACCATTTTCTTTTCTAGTCAAATTGAAACCATGTTTTGAGATTTCAATTATTCCTTTTAGGAGATGTCAGTAGGGTCATAGATTTCACTTAGCAGTTTTCCTGATGCTCAGTCATACTTGCATTCATTCAGTTCATTGACCTTGCTACAGTCAGCAGAAAATATTACTTCATTTTAAAAACAAAGGGCTACTTTAAAGCAAAAAAAAAAAAATGAACTGAATTTAAACTGTAATCAAAGCTTTGTTCAGTATCTTGCTGAATTCACATCCTTATATTACAGCATTAAGTAAATATATAGATCTCATTGCTGAGTTTAATTTGTTAGCATCTTAGTGGCAGTTTTGCTAATCTTCCCTTTTAAGATTTAGCTTTTAGTGAGAAATATGTAAGTGAATTCCAGAAACCACCTTAAAAATATATTTTATCTTGTTTTGCATAATTGTGGTATATTATATGTAATCACTTAAGTTACAATTTTTTTCTTTCCTGATTCCTAACTTAGGCATTTACACTATTTGCTACACATTTTCTGGAACTGTGTCAGCTAGATACTTTATATCCCAATGTGGAAAACAACCATTTTGAGGTGCAGCATGTGAGGAGCAGTACTGGAAATAAAGAAAAAATTGCTTATACTTACATACTTTCAAAGGGACACACAGAAGAAAAAAACTATGGTAATTCACTACACTATTAATTTAACTTATGAAACATTACTTTAGATATAATGTTAAACTATCAGGAAGTCTAAACATTCTTCTCTCCACTGATAGATCTCAAAATGATTCGTATACAGGAACTCTCATAGCTTTAAAATACTGTTTCAGTTGGTGTAATAACATAGCTATTATTTTTTACTCACAAGTTTTATCTGGAGTCTCTAGCTGTTTGCGAACATAATGATTTGCTACTTGAGTGAGATGAACCACTGTGGGTACATAGTAGTTGTAGTGAGTGGTCTGAATTACTTTCCTGTTTCCTTGTGGAAGTAATTGAAGGTGCTGGTGATCATCTTTAAAAATCTAAGTGGACAGGTATCTGGTTACAAGAGCAGTCTTCCTTGTATTTGCTCATAAATTGTGATTTTTTATAATTAACTAATGTCTGCGTTCATCTTAAAGAAGTAGAGTTTAAACAAAAATGTCAATGTAGTGTCCATATATGTATATTATTATGTCTGTTATTTACTAGGGCTGTGCAAAGCTTCGGATCATGATTCGGAGATTATTCATATGATTCGGAGGCAGAATCTATGAATCTGAATCGAATCTCTGGAAGCTTTAGGCTTTCTAAATTGATTCGGAGCTTCCAAATCGCTTTGAAAAAGATTCGGAGGCAATTCAGCCATAGAGTGTAATGGGGAATCAATGAAATATCTATAGCTTTGTTGTTTTTTGTCTGATTTGGATGAAACTTGCAGGAGTGGTAGCCTCTGCTGAGAGCATAAAGCCTACCAGTTTCAAGAAGATTGGTGCAGGGATTCGGGGGGGGGGAATGCACCCCAAATTGTTGAAACCAAAACTCATGTGTTGTCTATGTGTTATACCACAGGGGAGTGAAAACTGCAGGGTTGGTGACCCCTGTTGAGGCCACAAAGCCTGCCAAGTTTCAAGAAGATCAGTGCAGGGGTTTGGGGTGAACTGCACCTGAAGCTGCTGACAGGCAGAACTTGTGACATAGATGACCCTGTGTGTGCTAAGGCACAGCAGGCTCAAAACTGCAGGAGTGGTAGCCCCAAAGCCTGCCAGCTGTTGAGGAGATAGGTGCAGGGGGGTTCTAGGGCCCTGCACCCCTAGCTACTGACAAGCAAAACTCATGACATGGGTACTTGTGTAACTGACTGTCTCTGTCTTGGCGCAGTTGATTGTCTATATCGATTATTTCCTCTCCTTAGCCTCTGGTTTTGTAGGTGTTAATTGTTGCTAATTAACTGGCTACATTAGCTAGCTGTTGTGTATTGAGCTGGTCCCTGATTAAACCATGATTGATTGGTAACTGGTAACACAGTAGCTTAGCAGCCAGGCCTGCAGTAGTTCTCACCCCCACTGCCCCAAGACAGACACAGTTGCACAAGCACCCATGACATGAGTTTTGCCTGTCAGCAGCTAGAGGTGGAGGGCCCCAGAACCCAGAAGCCCTGCACCGATCTCCTCGACAGCTGGTAGGCTTTGTGGCTGCAGCAGGGGCTACCATCCCTGCAGCTTTCACCCTGCTGCGCCTTAACACACACAGGGTCATCTATCTCCCAAGCTTTGCCTGTGAGCAGCTTGAGGTGCAGTTCCCCCCAAACCCCTGCACTGATCTTCTTGAAACTTGGTAGGCTCTGTGGCCTCACCAGGGGCTACGACCCCTGTGGTTTTCACCCCCCTGTGGTGTAACGCATAGACGTGACATGAGTTTTGCTTTCAAGAATTTGAGGTGCAGTTCCCCCTGAACCTCTGCACCAGTCTTCTTGAAACTTGGTAGGCCTCATGCTATCAAAAACAACAAAGTTATTGATTTCATTGATTCCCCATTGTACCCTATGGTTGGATCTCCAAGGTGGCTCCGAAGCTTCAGAGCCACTTCGACCAGATCGAAGTGGAAACCCAGTCCGGAGCTCCAGATCGGATCACTGGCATACAAAACGGTTGGATCTGAAGCCAGATTGAATAGTTGCTGACTCACACAGGCTTATTATTTACTAACAAATTGCCAGTCAAGAATGATGGGTGGGGGGCGGAAATGGAGCTTCCAGCAAGCAGGTGGGGGACGGGGCAGCATCACTGGCCACGCCCCCTTCCCTCCATCCACTCCATCTTCGTGGCCTGCAGGGAGCAGGGGGGAGCATGGCCAGAGCCACTCCCTGGCCACCACTCCATCCCCTGTGTCCCTGCCTTCATGCACCAGAGCGCTGCCACCTCTTGTCTAGAATGCTGTTGGAGCACTCTGATCGGCTGGTTCAGACAGACTAAGGCTTCTATATATATAGAATGTTAAGAGGTGCTTTTTATCCTTGGAAGTTTTAAAGTAGTGTCCTTCAGAAAGTGGGTTCAATTATTCTTTAAATTAGATATAAAATATATTGAACCAAAACTGCATCAGAATTAAAACATTTTATTTATATCTCATTGTCATCCATTCATAACTTTAGAAAACCACAATCCTTTGAGGAGTCACACAAATCCACATAATTTAGAGTGCTAGATTTTGTAGCAGCTTCCTGCTTTAGCTGACATTTAATCAATAGGGTATTGTCTGATTTTTGCAAGCCTGACTGCACTGAAGACTGCGTAATATTCCATTTTAGGTTGGAATTAATTTGAGATGAATGTTTTTTCTACATCTGGCTGAATTTCACTGTTAGTTCTTCTCACCTTTGGAAATACAAGGTCAATTTCAAAGATTTGACAAGACAAATGTAGAAGGGCAGTGTATCTAGGCAGTCATCTCTCTTGTAGAAATATCTAGTTTCGTAACTGTTGCTATCTCTCTTTACAGATCATGAATAAAGTTATATTTTAAAGATATGTGTAATGTGAATCTAAAGGCAGCATTCTACATTTTTAGATTTTTTTTAGTCAAAAACGGTAGTTTTTTAGCTACTGTGACACTAGTGCTTATGTCTTTATTGAGATTGATTATCTTGATGTTCTGCTGGCAAAGTTCTTTGGGAAGATGTGATATCTGAAAGGGACTGGGGGGTTAGGAGAGATAATCAACCCAAGGATGGATATGAGCCATCAGTGTGATGAAGTTTCCAGTAAGTCAAATAGAACTCTGGTGTGCATCAGCAAGTGCATTGCCAATAGAACCAGAGAGGTGCTCCTCCCCCTCTATTTGGCATTGGTAAGGCCACAGCTGGAGTACTGTGTCCGATTCTGAGCACGGCACTTCAAGAAGGATGTGGATAAGCTCCAAAGGCCATCCGTATGATCAGGGGCCTGGAGGATAGGCCCTTTGAGTCGAGACTCCGGGAACTGGGTTTGTTCAGACTGAGTAAGAGAAGACTGAGAGGTGACTTGATAGCCGCCTACAAATATATCAGGGGTGAACACCAAGGTGTAGGGGAGCAACTCTTCAGAAAGGCATTCCTTGGGAAGATGAGGTCCAATGGGCACAAGCTAGTTGAGAAAAAATTTAGGCTAAACATAAGGAAAAACTTCTTTTCTGTAAAGGTATCTAGAATCTGGAACAAACTCCCAGCAGAGGTGGTGCAGTCACCATCCCTGGAAGTGTTCAAGAGGAGGCTGGACAAGTACCTTGTTGAGCTCATTTGAGCCTAACTACCTTCTGCCCATGGCAGAGGACCAGGCTTGATGATCTTACAGGTCCCTTCTGGTCCTACTATTCTGTCATTCTACTTTTTTTTATTAGACCAACTAAATAGTTGGGAAAAAGTTCTATGCAAGCTTTCATGCGCAAACACCCATCTTCAGGCATTGGGAGACTCTGCTGTTGTTCTGAGTTCTCCAAGGTAGAGAAGAAGCTAAAAGTCTGACACATCTATGAAAATGTAAATGAGTGGAAGTTTGGAAGACAATGGATAGAGATAGGAGGGGAAAGGCGGCGGGGTGGGGATGTATGAACGAATGCAAATAATAAGCTTCAGGCAGGTACCTGGTAAATCAGATGTCATAATTTATTAGGTTTCATAGTTGTTAGGGTCAGAAGGGACCTCAGTAGATCATCAAGCCCTACCCCCTGCCCTGGGCAGGAAAGAGCGCTGAGGTCATGTGACCCCAGCCAGGTGCTTGTCCAGTCTCCTCTTAAAGTTTCCTAAGGTGGGGGAGAGCACCACCTCCCTTGGGATCCCATTCCAGATTCTGGCAACCCTTACCGTAAAGAGGTTCTTCCTGATATCGAACCTAAATCTGCTCTCTGTCAGTTTGTTGCCCTTGTTCCTGGTTATTCCAAGGCGTGCCCTGGTATACAGAGCATCTCCTATTTCTTGCTGCCCCCCTCCATGAATTTGTAAATGACCACAAGATTCCCTCTCAGCCTTCTCTTGCAGAGGCTGAAGAGATCCAGGTCCCTCAGTCTCTCCTCATAGGGGCTTACCTGGAGGCCCCTAACCATACGAGTGGCCCTTCTCTGAGCCCTCTCAAGGTTATCCACATCCTTCTTGAAGAGTGGCGCCCAGAACTGGATGCAGTACTCCAACTGTGGCCTGACCAATGTCGCATTGAGGGAAAGTATCACCTCCCTGGACCTGTTCGTGATGCACTTGCTAATGTATGATAGACTGCGATTAGCTTTACTGATTGCTTTATCACATTGACGAGTCAACTATGACTCCAAGATCCCTTTCTGCTGCTGTGCTGCTGAGAAGGTCCTCCCCTAGCCTATAGGTGTGTTGGTGATTCCTTCTCCCTAAATGCAGCACTTAGCACTTGTTTTTGTTGAACTGCATCCTATTCTTTTCTGCCCACTTTTCCAACCTGTCCAAGTCTGCCTGGATTTGATCCCTTCCCACTAGTGTGTTTACTTTACCCCATAATTTCTTGTCATCCATGGATTTGGACAGAGTGCTCTCCACACCTTCATCCAAGTCACTGATGAAGACATTGAATAGCACAGGTCCAAGGACCGAACCTTGGAGGACCCAACTGCCCACATCATTCCAGGTCGATACCAACCCATCTACCACCCCTCTCTTGGTGTGACCCTTAGGCCAATTTACCACCCACCTGACTGT